TGGAACTCGCTCTGTAGACCAGGCTGTCCTGGAACTCGCTCTGTAGACCAGGCTGTCCTGGAACTCGCTCTGTAGACCAGGCTGTCCTGGAACTCACTCTGTAGCCCAGGCTGGCCTGGAACTCGCTTCGTAGCCCAGGCTGGCCTGGTGCTGTGCTGAGTGCTCTCGCAGAGGGCCGGGTTTGGGTTTCAGCACCCACATGGCTTTTCACAAATATCCATAAATACAGTTCCGGGGGATCTGACGCCCTCTCCTGACCTCAGCAGCACCAGTCAGACTCATGACCGGCCCAGACAGCTAGAAGACGATCCAGGTGTGCTGGACGGGCACACGCTCCTCTTTCGGTGGCTGGTGAGACGGCTCGGTGGATAAAGGTGCTTTCCGGCAAGGGCGGCAACCTGGATTTGATCCCAGGGACCCACACGGTGGACGGACAGAACTGATCGCTGATTGTCCTCTGACCTCCTCCGCACATGTGCACACACGAAACACACAGTGAAGACATAAAATGTAATAAAACAAGAAACTCAAATGAGGATCCCGGATGTTAGCTTAAGGTTTCCGTGTTGGTTTTGGGGGTGGGAGCCTCTGCTAAACTTGGCAACAGAAAAGAGGAACCGTTTACCGGAAATTGGGTTGGTTTCTCCTGCAGGATTTGTTTTTCGCAATCAGTGTCTCAACTTGTAAGCATTCTGCAAAATGGGGAGCGGAGTGGTGCCCTGACCTTTCCTTCTGCAACAGGAGTTTATGTATTAGGTGCTCAAGATGGACACAGCTGTGGGTTTTACTCATATGTGTGACTCGGGAGAGAACCCCGGGTCTTGGGGACTTGGGGAAGGAGCTTCACCCCCCAGCCACTTCCTCCCTCAGCCTCTCACTGGAGATTCTGGGCGGGGCTCCACCCTGACCACGCCCCCAGCCCCTCGCTGGGGATTCTGGGCGGGGCTCCACCTGACCACGCCCCCAGCTCCTCACTGGGGGTTCTAGGCGGGGCTCCACCTGACCACGCCCCCAGCCCCTCACTGGGGGTTCTGGGCGGGGCTCCACCTGGCCACGCCCCCAGCCACACTCCTGTGTGAAGGTCAGAGGGAAGGCTGAGTGAGCAGGTTCAGTTCTTACACCTGATGGGTCCTGGGGATTGAACTCAGGTGAGCAAGCTTAGTGGGGAACATCTGTACCCACAGAGTCATCTTTCCTGCCCATAGTTTCTGTTTTGAAACAGGGTCTAGCTCTGGCGCCCAGGCTGGCTTGAAACTAATGATCTTTCTGCCTCAGCCGCCCAAAGGACCCACCATGCCTAGCTGCAGAGGAACCGCTCTGGACCTGGTATTCAGCACGCAGACCTGCGAAGCTGGTCACTGTGTCAGTGTGTCCACCGATAGGACTTGGGACACAGAGGACAAGGGCCAGAAGAGGCTTGCTGCCAAGCCTGATGGCCTGGGACCCACGGTAGAAGGAGCAAACGACTTCCAAAGTCGTCCTTTGACCCCACGAGGGCACCAATCCCCCGCCCCCGGAAGGTCCACCAACGAGCACACGGGAAACAAACTGAAACGCCGTTTACAGTTTTTAAAAGATCAAGCAAGCATGATAGCACACAACTATCACCCCAGTACTTGGGGAGCTGAGACAGGAGGATTAGTGTAAGTCAGAGTCCAGCCTGGGCTACAGTGTGAGACTGTCTGGGGAAAAAAAAAAAAAAGAAAAACAAGAAAAAAGGGGGGTCTTGATGTCACTCGCTTTTAGTCCCAGCCCTCGGGAGGCAGAGGCAGGTAGATCTGTGAGTTCGAGGCCAGCCTGGGCTACAGAGTGAGATCCAGGACAGGCACAAAGCTACACAGAGAAACCCTGTCTCAAAAACAAAAAACAATTTAAAAAGGGGAAGAGGGCTGGGCAGATGGTCAGCTGTTAACGCCTAGGCTAACTCCCCAAAAAGTGGGGCGTGCTTGACCCGCAGATCTCAGAGCCCCAGCGGATCTGACTCAGCAAGGCGCTGCAGGCCGAAGGAACTCTCTGAGTGATAAAGCCAAGGCCAGCCACTGCCACTGTGCAGGATCAGGCCGGGACATCACACACAGGCCAGAGCATGGGTCTGGAGGACCAAAAGTGAGCTGGCAGATCTTGGGGGGGGGGTTCTAGTAAGTACTACTTCCTTTATAAAAAAGTATCTAGGGGCTGGAGAGATGGCTCAGTGGTTAGAGCACTGACTGCTTTCCCAGAGGACCCGGGTTCAGTCCCCAGCACCCACATGGCAGCTCACAACTGTCTGTGACTCTAATTCTGGGGGATCTGACACCTTCATATAGACACACATGCAGGCAAAAATACTAACACACATAAACAAAAAACAAAAAGTATCTATAGTTACAATATTTTATTAAAAATATCTATAGCCAGGAGGTGGTGGCGCACACCTTTAATTCTAGCACTTGGGAGGCAGAGGCAGGCGGATCTCTGCGAGTTCCAGGACAGCCTGGGCTACACAGAGACCATATCTTGAAAAAAAAAGAAAAAGAAAAGAAAAGAAGAGAAGAACACAACTGTGAGGGATGGAGAGATGGCTCAGTGGTTAGAGCACAGCTGTTAGGGAGGGAGAGATGCTCAGTGGTTAGAGCACTGGCTGCTTCTGCAGGAGACCTTCATTCAATTCCCAGCTCCTGTACAGTAACTCCAGCTCCACAGGATCCAACCTCCTCACACAGACATGCATGCAGGTAAAACAACATGCACATAGAATAAATGAAAGCAGGGGCTGCAGACTCTGGTCAACAGTTAAGGCCCTGCCTCCTCTTCCTCAGGACCAGGGTCTGTTCCCAGCCCCCACACAGTGGCTCATAAACATGGGTAGCTCCAGTTCCAGGGGACCCAACACACTCTTCTGGCCTCTGCAGGTACTGCACACAGGTGGTGTGCACACAACACACACACACATAACACACAACACACACACACATAACACAACACACACACACACATAACACACAACACACGCGCACACACACGCACACATACACACATACAACACACACGCACACACACACACACATACAACACACACGCACACACACACACACATACAACACACACACATAACACAACACACACATACAACACACATACACGCACACACGCACACACAACACACAACACGCACAGAGGAATAAAAATTTTAAAAATAACATCAAAGAAGAACACATTAAGTGCTGGCAGGAGCGTGGGCAACAGACTCTGTCACAAGCTCCAGGGGTGTCAAATAGTGTGGGTGCCGTGTATATGTGAGAATTCTCCTCAAACACGCGTGCCCCAGCCACGCCATTGCCGTGGACAATGTGCCGGGGATTCGTTCACACCGACCCCCGGGATCGTCGGTGACGTCTACCTAGTGTGTGGGTTCTTCAGCAGGCCGCGGATGTGCGCTGCCCCGATTGGTCAATAAAGAAGCTGCTCTGGCCGTGGGGAGTCAGGTGCGGCCGGGCAGGGGGGGGGGG